TCATTAACAACCTGCAAAATTCAGATGACATTAACTTGCTTGCTTACTGATGAAGATCCAAGACTACAGCCTTTAGCATGTATTACACTTAAATTCAAAGAAAGTAAAACTCACCACTGGACCAATAAATCACATTGTGATAAATGAAGACAAGATTGGAGATGTCAAAGATTTCATATTGCTTGGATCCATAATCAACATTCATGGAAGCAAGTCAAGAAATAAAACGATGTATACCATTGGGCAAATCTGCCACAAAAGACCTCTTTTAAAGTGCTAAAGGACAAAGATGTTAGTTTAAGGACTAGGGTATGCCTGACCCAAGCCACAGTATTTTCAATTGCCTGGATGCATGTGAAAGTTGGACAATGATTTAGGAAGACCGCAGATGAATCGATGCGTTTGAATTAAGGTGTTGGGGAAGAATATTGAAAGTACCATGGACTGCCAGAATAAACAAATCTGTCTTGGAAGAAGTATAGCCAGAATGCTCTTTAGAAGCCAGGATGGTGAGACTTGGTCTCTCGTTCTTTGGATATATTATCGGGATGGACCAGTCCCCGGGAAGGACATCATGCTTGGTAAACTGGAGAGTCAGTGTAAAAGAGGAAGACCCCAATGAGATGAACTGTCACAGTAGCAACAACAATAGGCTCAAACATCATAACAATTATGAGGATGGTACAGGACCAGGCAGTGTTTCATTCTGTTGTGCACAGGGTCGCTACGAGTTGATGACAGCTAACCATAATCACCAACCAAAACAAACCACTAACACCAAGTTGACTTTGAGTCATAGTAACTCTGTAAGACAGAGAGGGACTGTCCCATAGAGTTTCCAAGGTTGAAAATCTTGACAAAAGCAGACTGCCATTATCTTTCTCCCACAGAAGAGCTGGTGGGTGGGTTTGAATCACTGACCTTTGGTTAGTAGTTGAATACTACAACCACTGTGCCATCAAGCTCCTTCTTTATGGAATTGTTGTTGTTGTTAAGTGCTGTCGAGTCGATGCCGACCCATAGCGACCCTGTATAGGGTTTCCAAGGAGTGACTGGTAAGCTTGAATTGCCAACCTTGCAATTCAAATGACTTTGCAATTCGGCGCGTTAACCCACAGCGCCACACCAGGAAGGCTGTGGCAAATCTGCTCCCCTCAGGGCATCTTATGTGACACTGGCAATTCAGTGGTAGAATTCTTGCTTTTCATGAGGGAGACTGGTTCGGTTCCCCACCAATGCACCTTGCATGTTGTTAAGATGCTGAATACAACTTCAGCAGAGCTCCCAGGCTAACATGGACTAAGAAAGAAGGTCTGGTGATCTACTTCTGAAAGTCAGGCCATGAAAACTCTACGGATGACAAGGGTCTGATCTACCACCGGCTATACGGCTGGCACAGGACCAAGCGGTGTCCTGTTCAGTTGTGCAGGGGATCACCCAGCCTGGGAGGCAACGTTCACAGCAATTAACAACAATAACAGCAGATCATAGCTGAGGCTCAAACATTACAAAAGGTGAGGGGAAAAGGGGATGGGTTTTCCTGAAGCCTCATGAACACTGTGGCCTGGAGAGCATCCATAGCTGGAAACCCTGCCAAGTAATAGCAACAGGAATGACAGTACCAACAATAGAAATAATTGTAACAAGAGCCAATCGATGCAGCTCTGCTACGTGCCAGGCATTGTCTTACGAGCTTCACACACATCCAAGCTCACTTAATCCTCACAACAATCCCACGAAATATAGGCTGTCATGTACAGATGAGGAAAGTGAGTCATAAAAAGTTGAATAGTTTGTCTAAGGTCACACAGCTAGAAAGTGACAGAATCAAGCTTCCACACCATTTTGACCTGGCTCTGAAGGCCCTCACCATGGTCTTCTTATATCAAAATAACTGAGAGTGCAGTTCTTTCTACAGGGTGAGGAAACTGGTGCCAAGGCTGAATTGCATCCTTACTCTTCACAATGACTGTAACACCCTGTTTTCTAGATGAAGAAACGGATACTCAGAGATGGATAGTAACTTGTCTAAGGTCACACTGCTTGGCAGAGATAAGACTCAAGATCCAACGGCTCATATGTGAAACTCTAAAGTCTTATGAATATTCCTTTAAATATCTTTTTAAACGCGGCCAGAGCTGTCATTAGTTTCCTGCTGAAGCAGTAACAGTAAACTCAGAAACTCAGGACCCCACCACTCCCACCCACCCTTGCTCCCTGAGTCTAGGGCAATACTGTTTTGTGGTTTGTTCCCAAAGAGCTGTCTTCCTTTGCATATGGGATTACATTTATCAATATGATACTCGGATTAATGTCTGCATCCCTCCCTAGGCTGGGAGCCCTGAGAGTACAGGGATTCATTTGTTTTATATTCATGTGTCCCCAGGGCACAGCTCAGTACCTAGCCCCCAGCAGGCAGACAAGAAATAGCTGTTGTACAAGGCAGCCCTTCATTTCTGGTCCATTGTGGTTGTTTCAAATGGAGTCCACAGAAGGAGTGTTCCCTAACTGCTCTGACCCTGGACAACTCTGTTCAGAACAGAAGTTCATGCTTTTCTCCTCCTGGGCTTCCTCCTTCTACCTTTTACTGGGTTTGATTCTGGCCAGGCACTGTGATAGGTGCTTTGTGAATACTTTTTCAGGCAGGTAGTTTTACTGTTCCCATTTTAAAGTTGAGAAAATTGAAGACCAAAGAGTTAGTCGCAAAGCTAGTAGTGGTGGAGCCAGGATGTCAGTTCAAGCTTTTATCTTCCCCAACTGTCCAGGAAGAATCAGAAATGCTGCCGATGAAGAGTCCTTTGAAATGAAAAGTTAACTCTGTGTTTTTCTAAGGTCATCTCCTTCTCAAGCTCTCTGGCTCCTCTGAAGTCAGTTCCATGCATGGGGCCTCTCCATGGTTGCCATGGCACTAGGAGAGCTGAGTTCAACAAGGACTATGACTGGAAGATGAGTGTGTGGGGCTGACTATTTACTGAGCTTCCTTTGACCCAGCCACTGAGCACTTCCCTTATGATTTCTCATTTTGTCATCAAGTGCCCCCATGAGGTAGGCATGCTTAGTTCACCCATTATACAGATGAGGCAACTGAGGCTCAGTAAGATTCTCCAGATTCGTACAGCTGGGAATCAAAGACCCTGCTTGTTGTACTTTCAAATCCATGTGCATCCTTGTGACGGTCACTGAGTACCTACTATGTGTCAAGGACTGAAGTCTTCTAATTGTATCCAGCCCATTCCACCCAAGGAAACCGAGGCTCAAAGATGTGGTCCAAAATCATATAGATTGTTAGTCGACTCTGACTCCCACCCCTGAACTCTCTATGGCACTGACTGTCCTCAGGGTGCCTGCCGGCCTTGGGGGAAGGTGGCACATGGAGGGACTCACCTCCTTGATGAAGTTCATGAAGCGGCCGCCAAAGCGCCAGGCCTTATGCCGATGGCACTGCAGAGAGTTGACCGTCATTTGGGGTGCCCGCTGGTAGCACACAGACACGATGTGGACTGCATCGTAGAGTAAGGCTGCGTCGGTCTGGAGGGGAGAGGCAGGCCTGCCTGAGAGCCACTGTTGAACACCTTGGTCTTTGCCCACCCTGCCCTTTCCCTCCTCTTCTCACCACAGGCACATGCTGCCCTGCCAAGGGAAAGAGTCTGAGGTCCTAGAGGTGACCCAGGCCCCACTCCGCTTTGAAACCAGGTCTTGGGCCAACTGAAGCTCAGCAGATACCTCCACTTACACCTCCTACAGCCAAACCTTACCCCCATAAGTAATCCCAAACTGCTACCTACTCCAGGATTACCCTTGTCCTTTCCTGCCCCCTGCTGCATCGTCTGCCTGGAATCGTCTCCCAGTTAGCTGTACCCATCTCAGCCCAGAGTCCACCTGTCTCAGACCCACTTCTTTAATAACCTACTTACACACCCACATGGAGGCCCCTTGGGGAACTATGTCTAATTCATCTTTGAGTCCTTAGCCCCTTAGCTGGTCCAGCTTAAGAAGGGGAGTAGTAGGAGGGAAGTAAGAAAGAAGGGAAGAAGAAGAGAAGAAAGAGGGGAGGGAGTGTCCAGAGTCCCGGCCTGCCCCACGGTACCATCATCACGCCATCTAACAGGCCCGACTCTGCTCGTGGAGCTGCCTGCAGCCGCTCCATGGACCACTTCTCCACAATGGCCGAGACGTGGGGGTTGTCCACGTTGAGGATCCGGAAGCCTGTCAGGTTCACTCCTGAGTAGCGGTAGGGTTCCAGGTCTAATGCATAAAGATCCTGACAAAGAGAGGGTTGTGTCAGTGAAGGTCTGACCCCTTCTGTACGTACCCGCTCGCACTCCTCCCACATAGTCCCAGGCACAGGCTGAAGGACAGGCAGCTCAGAGAGCTGATGGGAGCACTAGGCTTGGAGCCCACCTTGAACTTGAGTTAGCCTGACAACTAACCCTAGGTCTTAACTGCAAATCACTCAGCCTTTTTTCCTTTTACCAAATGGGATCATACCTCCTTTATAGAACTTTGTGAAACTGCTCACATAAAATGCTTAGCCTAAAGACCTGGGGACTCTTCGGCCCAGAGTCAGTGACATAGCCAAAGAGGACTAGAATGGAGAGTAAAGTGTCCAGCTGATAAGAAGAGAGGGCATATGCACAAGAACACCCACTTACAGATAATACCCACTTGACCTGGCTTCAATGACTGGATGATCAGAGCTCAACTAGAAGAAGAAAGAAGAGGGAAAAAA